TCCCAGAAGCTGCTGTGCCCCTGCCCCGGAGGCAAATATAGAGACTCCCCCTGGAGTGGGGAGTCCCCCAGGTTGTGGGCTGGGAGACCTTGGATGCGTCAGTTCCTCTAAGAGTCACCTATAGGGCATGGGTGATCATGCCTACTTCACCAGGGATTGGGAGGTCTTGGTGAGATGCCACAGGCCTGCAGGGGGATGAAGGGAGGTTGGAGAAGGAGTGTGGCCAGTGCTGGTACTTGTACTCATCAGGAGGGGGGGGGACTGGGCCTGCCACATGGGGGGATGGGTCATCCCCTATGAGAAAGCTCACCCCCGTGGAAAATGAGGCCTCACTTTCGGACGGCATGATTTCCAGTACAGTGGGGAATCTGACACTCTAGACGAAGAAAAAGCAAACAGGGTTATCTCAGTACCAACTCTAAACCACTCCTGTGGGTACAGGCCACACTGTTTGGAGGTCTGTATCAGGAATGCTTTTGAGCTTTAAGTAAAAGAATATACACCTAATCATGGCTTAAATACAAAGGGTTCCATTTTCTCCTGTAACAAGGAGTCTGGAGGGAAACGGTGGTGTTGGTTCAGTGGCTAGATAATGTCTTCAAGGACCAACATCCCATCTTTTCCTCTTGCCAAACTTACTGTTTGTTTGGATTTTTTAAACCTTAACGTTATTGCCTCACAATCACAAGAGGGCTGCTATGGTTCCAAGCATTTCATCTTTACACAACCCCATTCAAGGTAAGAAGCAGCTAAATGAGAAAAGGGAGAAAAAAGGCCTGAGACGCACCCCTTTATCCCTGGCCAGAAATTCACGGCAGGTGAGGGTGAGAAAGCAGGTATCTTCAAAAAAGGACTGTGTTGGTCATGACAGTCTGGGACTAATCACAGTTCTGAGACTAATCACAGTTCATCCCCCAAAGTTGGGCACATTGCTGGAACAACATCAGGCTCCTGTTGGCAAGGCAGAAGGAAGCAGAATAGCTCCAAGGGAGACCAGGTAGCCCGTTAACAGGGTCCATTGGAGGTGGGAGAATCAGTCCCACAGAGGAGTGGCTACCAGGCAGGACTCTTAACTGTGAACCTTATAAGCTGCTCTGTGACAAACAGCAGATTTCACTTTGTTGCAAACAACAGAATCCACGTTGTTACCAACAGTGCACTCCACTCTGTTGCCCCCCGCAGACTGGCGGGCATAGCCAGCACCAGGCAGGAGCAGGCCATGGCTCTTGGTCCTCTCCAGCCTATCTGAGGAGCCCCAGAAGCCCCTAACTCATGGTCTGTCTCAGCCACCTGGTTGGCCTGAAACACCCCCCGGAGCCCTTGGAGTCAGGGCACTGCCCCTCACCCCGAAGGCTTAGCTTAACAGGTCCCATCCTCTCTGGGGAACTTGGCAAACCTCCCCCGGATGTGGTCAGACTTCGGGCTGCAAGCTTCTGTGTGGAGAGGCCTACGAAGGCAAGACCTGGAGAGAGTCTCAAAGGAGGGTCAAAGGTGCCTCCGGGAGATCCCACTGAGGGTGGGAAGGGGATGGAGGGCCCAAAGGTGGGAAGAGGATTCCTGAGGTGGGGGCAGGGCAGAAGCATCAGCCCCAACAGACTCCACTTCTATGTCTTAACTTCCCTGATCCGTGCTCCCAGTCAGAGGATACAGTGGTCCCTTGCGCCAGATCAGACACTGAGATCAAAGAGCTATTCAGTTTGGCTGATGCAGTGCTAAAAAAAGAAAAAAGAAAGAAAAAAAAGTCTAAACTGAATGTGTTTAAAATTGTGAAGTTTCACATTACCCACCAGATTTCAGCCTTTCTTGAAAAATCGGAAGCTCTGGCCGCACCTCATCTTCCCATCTGGCGGCACAGGCTACAACCAAGTGGCTGCCATGCGTTCGGATGGGGCGTGAGCTTTGGAGCACCACAGACCCCGCTACCCCCTACTGCCTCCCCTCACCAACCTGGGCAGCCCGTGAACACCTCCCCATTCTCATCCCTGATTGACTCCATGACCGTACTCTTCTGCCCCTGCCCTGCACGGTTCTGGGGGCCCCTGGGGGAGAAGACACGGCCTGCACGATGTTAGCAGGGAGGAGAAGCAGAAGTTAGGGGTACTGGGATAGAAAATTCAGGGGCCTCTTCCGGGCCTGTTTTTGTGGCCAGCGGGTTCCAGTGGCCTGGTTTGGCTAAGAATTTGTCAGGGGTCACAGGCGTGGACCTAAAGGCATGAAGGGGCTCCCATTGTCTCTGCCCTCCTGAGCCCGAGGGTTCCTTGGTGCCTCGTGGGGCATTTGACCTACGTTTGACCAAAAAGGCAACTGAGAGAGGTAGACACGGTCTCTCCCTCCCCAGCCCTTTCTGCCCCTGGGGGCACCTGCCCACGTCCACAGGGCCCTCCCCTCCCCCAACCACAAGGGCACCTCTGAGGAAAACAAGTAGGACCCACCCTATTCTCAGCCTCCTGGAAAAGGCGCTGTAGGATCTTGGGGTGACACTCGGCCCCCTTCATTGTGAGCCGAGACACTGGTGCCACAGCACAAGAGACAAGAAATGAGCAGCAAACGGGGGAGGGAGGTGGAAAAATTAAATTTTGCGTGATCAGCAAGGTTTCAAACAATCGCTCGCCAACTGAAGTGGGTGCCACGTCTATAAGTCATTCTGTTTTATAGACCATTAGGATCTCCAGAGAGAACCTGCATGGAGACCACTGCTTTTTGTTGAAATTAAAATGTCAGAGAAAAAGAAATAGAACAAAACAGGGAATCTGCAATTAATTACCAGGCCATAAAAATTCAATAATCAGGAGGCAGAGCGGCCGCGGGCCCAGAGGTATCAGAGCCGGCGTAACAAGAATGGAATACATTAATCTTTTCAAATTAGTTTTTTAATCTGACGGGGATATATGGTGACATGCCTCCCCTCCGTGCCCGCTCCGCCCCCCACCCCCTCTCCAGGCCTCTCGCCTGAAGCCGGTTCTCTGGAAGGGAGGTTCGGGTGTGAGCTGGGGGCCTGCCCCAATCCGGCCCCCCAGACAGGGGAGAAAGTGCTGGTCTGCGGCCCAGGCTGAGCCCAGGGCCCACATGCCCGCCGGCCTGGTGGAGGGAGCCCAGCAGAGCAGCCAGGAAAGCGCTTCCTGCGAGGTCCCGGTGCGTGGAGTCCGCGTGGAGAGGAGGCCTCTGTGAGCTCCGCTTTCCTCCTCTGGAAAATGGGAATCATATCCCCGCCTCACAGGCAGGCTGGATGTGGAATGCCGGGTGCTCAGTAGATGGCCCCTCGGGTTACTGTGCTGACCGGACTGGCAGCTCAGGTAGCTAGGAGCCCACGAAGATCCAACATACTATTCCGAGAGCAATTATTTAGCATTTGCTGTGTGCTCAGCGCTGGGAGAGACCAGCAGCCTCAGCCCTTACTCTGGGCAATGAGTCTCCTAGGTCAGAGAAACAGGTACTGGGCCACCCGGTAAGGGGGAAGGCGCTTCCCCTCGAAGCAGGGCGCCGGCCGGACCGCGGGGAACCGGGACCGCGGCCGAGGGCCCACCCGGCAGCACCCCAGCCAGGCCCCCGCGCAGCCGGCTCCACCCCGCGCCCCGGGTCAGTCCCGCCCCTGTGTCTCCCTCGAGGTCCGGTCGTCGGCTCCCGGAGCCTCCACCGCAACTGGATCTCCTCCTGCGCGGCTTCCCAGCGCTGTGCTCCGAGTTTGTGTCCAGCTCGCTCCGATCCTCAGCCTCAGCCACGCCGCGGCCGCACGCACCACCCCCAAACCTCGATAAACCTGCCTCCGGGCCTCGGAGTCTGAGCCTCCCCTGGGCAGCCCCGGTGCAGCTCTGGTCTGGACATTCAATGGGCTGTGGGAGCAGGCACGCCCGGGGAGGTGACCTTGAGCCGCAGTCGGATGACCGTCTGCCCTTTGGACTTTAACTCCTTTTAAATGTAACAGGTAGGGCCCACTCAGGGCCGGCCCTGTGTTAAGTCCTTCACCGGGATTTTCTCATTTCATCCCCTGCGGGGGAGTGGGGGGATTCTTAATAACCCCGTTTTGCAGAAGAGGAAATGGTGAAAGTGGAGTTGCCCCCCATTTTTGTGTGTGCTGTGTTCCCCGAATGTAGCTTCCCTAAGAATACGCGCCAGCACAGCTTCTTTCCCCTTCCCCACTTTGAGTCACAAAAGGCGCTCCATCAGTGCTCACTGGATCGTGTCCCTGCAGAACAGCACTGCGAGCCGACCTCAGCTGCCCTTCCACCACTTTCCTCCCCAAAATATCTCCACCCCAACAGCTGCCATTTACTGAGCACCTACTGTGTGCCAGGTTGTGTGATCTGGTGCCGTTTGCGGTAAGCCTGTGGTTCCTGTTTTCCATAAAGGAAACAGGCTGAGAATGATGGCCCCAAGAGCTCACACCCATGTCTGGCGCCAAAGGGAAGTTTTCTAAGAATCTTGTCTCAGAGCCCCATCAACGAGACCTGTCTCAGGACTCCCAAACCCCACCTCTGGTTTTGTCCCCAAACCAGGTCGTCCTTCACTCCTTCAACCGGATACCCTTACTCACCTCCCCCAAAAAGCCTCCCCTAATTCTCTCAGTCCCTCTCAGAGCTCCTGTCATTTCTATCACGTTGTACTCATTACTACCCTGTTACACCGAGGGCCCACCCACCCACATATGCCGCAGGGCCCCAGCAAAAACAGGAGCAATAAGAAGCATACACCCAGGAGGGGGCATCACATTCTTCCTCCCTGACCCAGGACGGCAGACCTGAGGGGCCGGCAAGAAAAACCCAGACACCGCATGCTGGGCTTGCGCCCCTCTCTGGGTGCAGTTCCCAGTGCAGCCACCAGATGGCGCCCGGCTCGCTCTAGGGGGACTTGCAGTAAAGCTGTGCGGTCGCCAGATGGCGTTCGAGACCGCAGCTCCGCGGGCAGTGCCGGGACAGGGCGGAGCCTGGAGGGCAGGCGGATCCCAGTGTGGGCCCAGGAGGCCCAGCCAAGTGACCCGTACGTGGCTGCCTCCTGGTCGCACCATGATCCATCCCGCACCCCGGCTCTCTGTGCCCGCCGCGCTGGCCCTGGGCTCGGCCGCGCTGGGCGCCGCCTTGGCCACCGGCCTCTTCCTGGGTGAGTAGGGCGGGGCCCGCGGAACCCACCCGCAGAGCCCCCGCAGGCGGGGCAGGTGCGGGAGCCGAGCCCGTGACTCCGCGAGGCTGGCTGCGGCTGAAGCTCAGCCCTGGCGCCCCAGAGCCCCAGGCCCTGACCCAGGACTCCTCCCTGGCAGGGAGCCGGTTCCATCCCTGGCGATCCCGGCGAGAGAAGCGCCTGCTGCCCCCTGAAGACAGCCCCCTGTGGCAGTATCTGCTGAGCCGCTCCATGCGGGAGCACCCGGCGCTGCGGAGCCTGCGGCTGGTCAGCAGGGCCAGGGGCGGGAACAGGCGCCCACCTCGGACCCAGCGGGTCCCACGTGGTTGTGTGACCTTGGGCTGGGCCATGGCGCTCTTGGGGCTTCCGGGACACAGCCGGCTGGGCGCGGTGGGCGTTCCCTGAGGGCCCGTCCCGGGACCACGCCCACGGCCGCGCACCTGGAGGGGGTTATGGAGCTCCGGGGAGGAGCTGGGTGACTGGCAGTGCTGGCGCGACCCTCTCCCCACAGCTGACCCTGGAGCAGCCCCAGGGAGATTCCATGATGACCCGTGAGCAGGCCCAGCTTCTGGCCAACCTGGCGCGGCTCATCAAGGCCAAGAAGGCTCTGGACCTGGGTAGGGCGCACGGCCGGGATCACTGGGGGCCGAAGTCACCGGGATGTCCCCCTACTCTGGCCTGAGCCTGTCCATGTCCCTTGCCCCCAGGTACTTTCACAGGCTACTCAGCCCTAGCGTTGGCCTTGGCGCTGCCCCCGGCCGGGCGCGTGGTGACCTGTGAGGTGAACCCGGGGCCCCCGGAGCTGGGGCGGCCCCTGTGGAGGCAGGTGAGTGTCCCACACATTTGAGGCCCTCATCAGGCCCTTGGAGGCTGGCCACTCCCAGCTCCAGGAGAAGGGACTTGCTGGCTCTGACCCCACTCCTTCCGCAGGCTGAGGAGGAGCACAAGATCGACCTTCGGTTGAAGCCCGCCCTGGAGACCCTGGGTGAGCAACGGAGTGGAAGGGGCCTTGGCACCATTTTCCAAGTGGAGCCACTGGGCGTGAGCTAGTGACCAGATCCGCTGGGCGGGCTTGGGGCAGTGACAGCCCCCTGCCTCCTGGCCTCGCCGCTGCCATGCGGCCACATGCTGGGTGGCAGGGCGCCCCTCCAGGCCAAAGTCCCTGAATAGTCACAGCGCCTGGGCAGGCCTGGGCAGGGGCTTCTGACCGCTGGGGCTGCGGACTCAGCCGCATTTGCCCCCCCCTCCCCCCCAAGACGAACTCCTGGTCGCGGGCGAGGCCGGCACCTTCGACATGGCCGTGGTGGACGCGGACAAGGAGAACTGCACCGCCTACTATGAGCGGTGCCTGCAGCTGCTGCGCCCCGGAGGCATCCTCGCGGTCCTCAGTGTAAGGGGAAGAACGAACCCTCCCGGGCTGCGTCTCCTGTCTTTTCTCTTGGCTCCTCCCCGTACCCCGCCCCCATGCCACAAAGCCCCGCCCAGTGCACGCATGAAAGCCGCTCCCTCGCCCCGCCTCTCCCTTAGGCACCGTGCCCCTCGGCCCTGACCCCGCCCCCGTGATGCCCCGCCCCCCCTCAGGTCCTGTGGCGCGGAGAGGTGTTACAGCCTCAACCAGGGGACACCGAGGCCCAGTGCGTGCGAAACCTGAACGAGCGCATCCTGCGGGACGCCAGGGTCCACATCAGCCTCCTGCCTCTGGGCGACGGCCTCACCTTAGCCTTCAAGATCTAGGGCCGGCCCCTAGCGGGTGGCCTCAAGGAAGGGGACCTGGGAACCCCAGACATCAACCCTGAGTTTTAAATTCGACAATAAAGTGGGGCCTGGGACACGATCTTTTGAGCCTCTGTATGTGGCGCAAAAGTGGGATAGGGAGGGAAAGTCCAGCACTGGCAGGTCCTAAAGCAAATGGGGGCCTTGAGGTCATAGACATCATCCCCTCCCTGGCACAGTCCTGAGGGCCACCTGGCACCAGGTCTATAGCCTGAGTAGGAGCCTCCAGCTGACTGGTAGCAGGAAATAAAGTTTTGATTGACCTGGCCACATACAGGACCCCAGCTCCTCAGGTTTGCCCCCACTCGACAGGATCTGAGGGCGGGCAGCTGGGTAGAACCCCCACCCATTGGTCTCCCTCCTACTTCACTTCCTAGGAGGGGCCAGTGAACGGTCTTGTTTGGTGCAGCTGGAACTGACTGGAAACCCTATCTGGGGTCCGACAAGGAACAAGGAAACCGCCTTAGAGCAGACCAGGTTTGTCACTGGGCGCTTTCATAGGTTATGCCAGTTCTATTTGCCCATGTTTTCACAGAACTGTCAGCTCGACCTCACCTCTGCAGTGGAGGCTCTGCTCAGTGGACATCACCTCTGAGAACCAGGCCACTTGACTTAAACCTGAGGACCTCAAGGTTGGAGCATATACCTGTCCTCCCCCTGAAGTCCTGGAGGAAGGTGAGGGCCTGGGGGGGATCACTGGCCAGAAAGGTGTGAAGTAAACAGGCCTAGAGGGAGCAGACTATCAGTATGGCAGTTTTTTTAAAAAGTTCCCCACAGGAAGATGGATATAGTTAGGCTTTCCCACACCAACATCTACAAGAGGTGGTGGCCAGGGAGCCAGGTGCTTCACTTCTCTCCATCTAGACCTCCCTAATCCCAATCCCACAGGAAGATCCTATCTCCACACCAACACAGATGAGTATCAGGTACAAATATGAAGTGTTCGACTAACTGCATCAGCCTAGAATACAATTAGGTTTTGCCACCACTGGATTAGGCCTGGGTGCTATAAAGCTGGAGACTATTAGAAACAAGGCCACAGGGGCCCATAGCTGGCAACTTCCATAATCCTACACCTCCTGGGACAAACCTGGCATTTTATGCAACCCTCAGGGCCCCAGGAACCTTCTCTCTCCCGCATGCTAAAAACGTTAATTAGGATGCACCTGGGTAAATACGTCTACTTTACTCTTAAATGTGTCTCTGACCAACTGCTAACTCACTTGTGCCACACCCCAATCCTGAGTACTGGACGCGGTAAAATCCAGCCACAGCTGAGGGAAGGCCACCTGTTAGCTCTGGGGCAGTGGGTCATCCAGGGGGCTTCAGAAGTCACAGGCCTATGACCAGTTCCTCCCCACCAGGTGGAGTTTCAGAGATGTCTCATCTACTTCACACCTCTCTTGAGAATCCCAAAAGCAGACGTGCTTTCACACCTAACTTGCAGACATCAAACAGGAAAACTGTTTGACCTAGCAAAAGATCCTGACTCAAGCAAACTGGCTCAAATTCCAACTGTCTGCCATTAAATCACGTGTGTCTTATTCACACAGGCCATTCTTGGCAGTCCCTTAGCACATACATAGATCAGGAGGAGCCTCTTTATCACCCCACAGTGGAAAGCTTGCTTGAGCTTCTAATCTCTCATCAGATTCTTTCTGACCTGGAAATTTTCAGCATGTATCACTTTTTTGGGTAATGAGTCTCAAAGTACATTTTCTTACCTGTTCCCTCTTAGGCTTCAAATGGTACCTCAGGTCTAATAGTATAAATATGTTGAACTCCCTTCTCTATCCTCTCCCTTCTCTAACCTCTGATCACACCCTTCAAACTATCTTCTCCCATCAAAAACACTTGCTGTTTCCTACTTTTCCAACCAGAATCACCTATTAATTTCTGTCATTCAGCCCCAGTGCAGATGAAGGCCAATGGCCACAAAGCCTGAAGGCACTGCTTCTGGTCTCCCACTTAGGCCCAACCCTTTCAGTGTCTGCCTAGAAAGAGATGATTCATGACCTCTCACGGAGGCCCATATACTCCCTTCTCAAGTCCCTCTGGTTACTGACACCTCACTCCATTTGCCTACACCTCGTCCCATCCCACCTAGGGCCTAGTTCACTTCCCACAGCAATAGCTCACAGGGGTATGGCGTGTGTATACAGCCTTCAGCACCACCTCTTCAATGATCCAATGGAATTCTGGACAAACTTACAAACTGAAGGTATAAAGGCATATATCCTCTTATTTTATTGTAGTCCAAAAAGTTTGTGGAGTTACTTTAGGGACACAGAGGACTTTATGGCACAGATTTAGGTAAAAAGCAAAATGCTCACCAGAAAAATAAGGTACTAGTGACATACAAGGGAGATCTGACCCTGGCAAATGTTTAAACTCTGCAAATACTTGGGAGTCATTAATTATGTATACTTGTTTTTATTCATAATCTGTAATGTTTGGGGATACCAAAAGTAATTCTAATGATGGGCTGGATTTAACAAAAATTTTTTAACCTCATCTTAAAACTTCCACTGATCCATTTTGTTCAATGGCAATTTTCAATGTTAATAGGAACATAAAAATAAACATGCACACAATTGCACAGTTTTCATAAAGGTCTATTTCATTATTGGTGGGTAGCGCATTTAACAGTTAAATACATTTAAATAATGTATAGGTGACTGCACGACTGCAGCACTGGTAACTAGATAGATAACCAATTCAACTAGAAACCAGCTAACAAGGAACTGTCTAAATATTTAAAATACAGCTCTTGTTTAGATCATCCTTTGATTTGATCACCTTCTTGGGGGGGGGAGCCTGCTGGTCACACTGGAAATATATTAAGGCCAAATCTTCTGATATCCATTCCCAGAGGTTTCTTTCAGCTGGATTAAGCTTCCAACTCAAGGGCAAGCCCAAGTTTGTGGCCTCCAGCATTGATGCTCTTCCCGTCTACCAGAGCAGACAGTGTAAGCTTGACACCTGTAAAAAAAGGCAGGCAACCATGATTTGCCTGAAACACCTCAAGAGTCTGCAGTCTTTAATAATCACCCCAGAGCCTGCCTGTCCCTCCCTCAGCCTGCCAGATGACCTATTACTGCCAACCACCAGAGGGCACTTGGGAGTCCTGGAGATACCAGACAGAATTCAGGTGGTCCCATCCTAGGTTAAGGAATCTGTGAAGTCACAGATCATTAAAAATAAGTTCAAAAAGTGTTCTAGAAAATACAGGAACATTCAAAACACTATCCAGACTATTAGACACTAAACGACAATCATAAGTGGACCAGGACAACTACAATAAAGAGACAAGTGGGGGAAACTGAATACAGACTACATATTTGTACTGCTCAACTAATGGTAATTTCCTTAGCTGTGACAGTGGTATTGTAGTTATGAAGAAAAATGTCTTACTCGGGATATGCATGCTGGGTAGATGTGTCTGCATGTCTGCAAAACAGACATTTAAATAAATGAAAAGGGACTGTGGGAAAAAGGGATTATGTATGCAGACGTGGAAAAAACAAATGTGGTAGATATTAGTGAATGTGGGGAAGGGTATACAGGTGTTCTTCGTACTTGTCTTTTCTTGAGCTTTCAAAAAGGCCAAAACCGAAAGTCTGGGGGAATATCCCTATTTGAACAGAGTAAAAGTTCCAAGTGCTTTAGAACTTGCTATTCAAATGGTGGCAAGAACCAGTGATACTCGCATCACCTAAGAGCTTGTTAGAAAGACAGAACCCTTCACTCCAGATCTATTGGATCAGAATGTACATTTTAGCAAGAGTCCCCAGGTGACTCATGCACACTGAAGTCTGATAAGTACTGCTCTAGAAAATATAAGGCTCAAAATACTACATAAAGTAAATGAGACTACAGAGACCAAACAATGAAAGCAATGAGTGAACCTTGATTAGAGAAATAAACAATACTAGAAGGCATTTCAGGTACAAATGAGGAAAGTGACTACAGAATGGAAATTAAATAATATGGACTATTAAATTTCTTAGGTGTGATAATGGTATTATGGTTATGCAGACCAGAACGGTCTCATTTCTGAATAGACACATGCTGAAGCATTTAGGGAAGTGTCAGGATAGGTGCAACTTCCAAACAGCCCAGCAAAATAAAATAAATAAATAAATAAAACTGGCAAAAGGTAAACGTGTTCATCGTACTCTTTGAAGGGTTTATAAAGAATCTGAGAAATAAAAAATAATTTTTAAAACACCAATCCTACTTAAAAAACACAACAACAACAACAACAAAACCACCAATCCTACTTATCAAGAATACTTACCAGGCCTCAGAGTCTGAGTGTAGCCCACTCCAATTAAACTAGAGTTGTTGACTTTTGCCTAAAATAAAATGCAAAAACAACTGTAAAAATTTTTTTGAATTGAGAGACAAAACCCCTAGTTTCCCTATTATACAATTATGAAGTGTTCCGCTTTTTTATTCACATGTGAAATAATATAATTTAGGCAAACCATGAGAGACTCTCGACTCTGGGAAACAAACTGAGGGTTGCAGAAGGGGAGGAGGGATGGGGTAACTGGATAATGGGCATTAAGGAGGGTACGTGCTGTGATTAGTACTGGGTGTTATACACAACTAATAAATCAATGAACACTACATCAAAAACTAATGATGTACTATATACTGGCTAACTGAATTTAAATTTAAAAAAGACGTGTATAAGATAAAGATTTCATAACATTTAAGAAGTAAAATAAATAAAATTTAACACTGTTACTAAGCCAAACAAAAGCTAGGTGCCACTTAATTCTTATCCATTAAACTCCAAGTCATACTGTCAGTAGGACACAATGTTCTTGGTAGTAAAAAGGTGACAGCCTCTGGGATCAAAACAGATTTGGAAATTATTTGATGTCTTCACTCTTATAATGTGTAACATCGAAACAGTCCAGAGAGAGAAATATGTAACTACAGGCAGAAGTCATATAAACAGCACTTGCGTTCACATGGCAGGATAGCCAAGTCTTCAGAAGCCACCAATAACCAAGTGAGCTATTAGTCTAAGAAGAAATGCCCCACTAG